AATCAAGTAGGGGCTTAACATCAAAGATGATTTTCATATTACATAAAATCTCTTTAGCACTTCTCTATTTTATTTAATTATAAATTTGAATCTCTTAAATAAAAATTAAGAAAATATCAAAACATCCCTTTTGTTAAATGGCATGCACGTGCATATTTATAATTTTCACTCTTTGGGTTTATTCCTTTCTTAAAGAAATGTGGTCGAATGATTGAACAGTGAGGTTCTGCATGATAAAGATTATGAAATTAAGGGAGATAGATTTAGCTAATTAATTCATCTTAAGTACTTGATTAATCCATATGATTTAGGGTTTCTAATCTAATGATGATGACATATGGTGGGGATAAAAACTTGCCCTTTATGGAAGTGGCAGTTCTTTAATAACTTTCCCTTGTTTGGGTTTGGGGTGTTGACGATAGCTAGTGTGGGTGGGAGAGGGGTTGGAGGGTTCCAAGATTGTACTTACAATACATAATATAGACACACACACACACACACACACACACACACACACACACACACACACACACACACACACACACAGAGAGAGAGAGAGAGAGAGAGAGAGAGAGCTCACCCGCTGCTCTTGAATCCATTTCTAAAACGTACTCAAAATTATTTTGCCAAGTTTCAACCAGAGGGAAACAATTTTTGCCATTATAAATAGTGAATAATTAAAATCTAAAACTTTGTTTCTTTTTAATTCTGTTTAGTACTCACCATTATATAGATATTATGGAGTTGCACCTCTTGATGCCATTTATGAAGACAAAGCTTTGAAAAATTAGTGTATTTTAAATTATATGAAGTCAGTAGGTAACCAACAAATTCATGTATAACTGAACCTAGTATCAAGAAAGTCAAGATTACAAGTTGTTAGTATTCTTTGAAGGGTGCTTAGATAGAATATTTTATCAATTTCTTCATATACTCTTTTTTTATTAAAATATTTAAAAAGTTTATATACTTGTGAGGCATAAATTCACAATCATTAATTTTCAAGAATTATTCACATTCTAATCGGAACTGCTAATTTATATACTAGTTGCATAACTCATGGGTCATGATTAACTGATCCTTTTTGGATTTGCCATTCGGGCTTCAATTCATATCCTACGACTTGTCAAATTTCAGTGATAATTTACCTTATTACCCTTGGTTGTGTCTATATCCTTACGAGTTTTTATTTAGCCCATGTTTGATCTGGATAAAAATTAGACTTTTTGATAAAATTGGTGAAATGTGTGGTCGAAAGTTGATAAAAGTTGTAGATCCCACATAAAATGTGTTGTTAAAAATGAATGTGAGGAAAATGAATTTTAAGAAATAGGGACAATCATGAATTTAGTTTCTATACATATATGCTGATTAAGTTTTTATCACTCAATGCATGCTTAAATGTTCATGGATGAAGATTCAATCAACTGATTTTGTTCTCGTGAGTATCATTGTGATGTAATTAGGGTTGTCAATGTATTGAATTTTGATCCGAATCCGATGAAATTAATGGAAGATGGATTTACGGTCTCAGTCCAATAATTCAATTAAGATCCGAATCCGATAATCTGTTAACTAAATTGAACAAATATGGATATAAGTCGATCAAATCCGATAACAATCCGATCCGATTTATTATAATAATATAATATATTTTATATATTATATCATTATCTAGTAAACATAATTTTTTCCATTTTGAAACTTATATTATGCTTTACACATAATTTTCAAATAATAAATAATATTAGATAATAGTATAATATTGTTAATTGAAATATTCAAAAAGATTTAATTTTTTTCTTAATTAAAATAAGATAAAAATAATTATAGTAATTTGTTTTATAACATCAAAAACTAATAATTAATATGTCCAAAAATAATTTACATTGTTTAAATTGATATTATTTGCAATTATAATCTTGTAGAGGCTATGATTTTTAATGAAAATAATAAAATAAACTGGCAATACTTAGAATTGACAATTGACTAATATCATACATTGAAAGATTACTAAAATATTTCGAGAGTCTCCTTTAAAAAGTAACTAAAGGAGCATCATTTGGATAAAAAATTTGATTTAGGCCTTCTAATATAATAGGTGAGCCCATCAAGACAGTTAAAATATTTTGGGATAATTAGGCTCAATACTCTAAAAAAAGAAATAATTGGATAAATATGCTTAAACCTAATTATGTATTTAATTTCCGTATTAATTACGGTCAAATTCATCAAAACCAGGCGGAAACGCTTCTCCAATCTCAAAGGGATAATTCTTCATCTCAAAAAATGTATATCCTAATACAAGAGGTCAAGTTCTTGGTGGAACTAGTGCGATCAGTGCCGGTTTCTGTGGAGATCCAATCAAGACTTTTTCAAAAATTAGCTGGGATTTAAGAATGGTTAATGAATCGTGTGAAGGCGTTGAGAAAAAAATGCACCCTTAATCACTCTTCAGTTTGTCAATCCAAAAAGAATATCAGAGGGGTTTCAGAGTTTGAATCTATGAAAATATAAGACCTAGACTGGCAAATAGATCAATTGAAAAGGTGCTAGCCACTCAAGGAATCTGAAGTCAAAGCCTTTTGTCTCAAAGCCATGGAAATTCTCGTTGAAGAGAGTAATGTTCAGTGGGTGGATGCCCTCGTCACCGTAAGTAGGAGAAGAATTCTTAATTAAAAATTATGTCCTTTGTGTGTTTTATTACTAGGTGTTTTTAAGTTTTTTTTTTGTCGTATTTATTTATTATTATTTTTTTTGGGGTACATTCGGTCACTTTTCTAAAAAAAGTCATACCATCTTATTTGAACAATTAACTAGATGCACCTGTGTGTATTTTTAAAAATTTGAACATAAAAATTCAAGCCTTATTTTATAATAATACATAAAAGATAGTTTCGAATCAATTAGATTGGTATATGTAATGTGTTTATTCAGGGAGAATGTGAAAAAATGATAGAAGAAAAGTCACATTAGCTCATTGGAGCAATTGACTAGATGAATATGTGTGTGTGTGTATGTGTGTTTTTTTTTTTTGGGAGAAAATTTGAACATATAAATTCAAACCTTGTTTTATATTAATACTTACGAAAATGAATACTTTGAATCAATTAGATTGATGCATGCAAGGTGTTTGCTCAAGGAGAATGTGGAAAAGTGTGTCACTTTTTTCTGTCATTTTTTTGAATTTGTGTAACTTTTTCTGATTCGTGTCACTTTTTTAAATTTCCATCCCTTTTTTGAATTTTTGTTACTTTTTAAAGTAGTTGTCACTTTTTTTGGAATTTTTGTCAATTTTTTTAGTGTTTGTGACTTTTTTCAGTTGTCTTTTTTAAATTTCTATTATTTTTCCTTAGTGACAAATATTACTTTTTAATAAAAGTCAGATTTTATGTCATTTTTATAATATAAAAGTAACACTAAACTTTAAAAAGTGACATTGTGTCACTTATTTAAAAAAGTGACAATTTTTATATACATAAAAAAAAGTGACATTGTGTCACTTTTTAATTTTAGTGTTACTTTTTAATTTTAGATAGTATTTTTTACTTCCAAAAAGCTTTTCGTATAATTTTTCAAAAGATCCTTAATTTTAAGGGTATTTTTGTAAGTTACCCTAATATTTTTGGGAAAAAAAATCATATTACCCAAAAAAATTGTGGATTTTTTTTTTTTCAAATTCGGATCGGATTATCAGATCGGATATCTGATAACGTAGCAAATCCAATATGGATTTAAAAATTAAATATCCGTTGAATTATCAGATCGGATAGGATAATTTTTCTTAACGGATCGGATCGAATTTGGGCAAATCCCCTCCATATCCGATTCATTTACAACACTAGATATAATTAATACAATGAATACTAATTTTAATCGTGGGTTTGTTCGGTAGTGATATTGAGAATTGACTTTTTGACTGTTAGAAGATAAGTGGGGGCCGTCTGTGAGAAAAGAAGTCAAAAATTACGATTGAAATAATGAAATAACAGTCCAAAAATCAATTTTTTTAGGTGAAAAATCATTCCTAAACGAGGCCTTGAAGGCATTAACACATTGTGATGTTCATTTCTTTTCTTTGAAAGATATGGTAGATCATTGTTCTCGAGGACGGATGTATGAGGCAGCTCATGCCCATTTCTTTTTTTATAGAATTGTTTTTCTATCTATTAGCCTAGCGCAATTTTTCTTTTTGTCCTCTCCTAGCTCTGACTCTAATTATTCTCTGCAATTATTCTAAAATATTCATTATCACTTGAATCACCTACGCAACATGTTCAGGCCACCTATTTGTTATCAACATAATTCTCCATACCTTGAAAGAAACTACCAAAATTTACTTTTAACGTTAGCAAGTCCACTGCATGATCCGTAGCTTTAGATATGCTTAAATCCGGGATGTTTCGCCAGAATTTTGCGGATCATAATTTGGTGTATGGGAGTGAGAGAAACGAATTTTGAGCATACACTATTTTTAGCAATAGTCAATCACAGGAAGACAACTGTTTCTTTATAATAATTCTTTGAAAAAAATTATGTATACTTAGAATAACTCCTTTATCCATTGTAAATTAATCGAGCACTGTAAGCTTAATGAAAAATCAGTATTTGATGAGAGGATTCTAATGATGTAATTTTATAAGAACTCTGCTACTGAACCCGGCTCAGTAACCGATTCAGGGATAAGGCCCCTGATCTCATACATTTTTTTTTTTAAATTTCAGATCCAAGGGCCGAGGTGAAAACACCTCGGCACCCTGACTTTGGGCCTGTTTTTTGGCCGGCCAACAACCATTTTCCAATTTTGTAAAGATCAGCTTAAGGAGATCACTGTAGGCTGGCTGCTTGAGCTCAGTTTTGAGATTTGAGTCTGATGCCTAATCTCATGGCCCAATCATTCTCAATACAAGCATACGCTGTCGTTTAAGTGAAAACAATAGGGGTAAAACAGGAAATTCATCAAAATAAAGAGAAGTGATCCTAGTATGAATCCAAGTCCTTAAAGACAATCAAGAACTGGATTTTTTCTTCAATCTTCACTCTTTCATCTTCAGTCTACTCCTAAACTCCGCGGCGTATATCCGAGGAGTTTCGGAAAAATTATTGATACAAAAATACGCAATTCTCCTTAAAAGCTCGCTTTCCAGATCTTTACTGCGAACCTACTTTTCACTACTATTCAGGTTATGCTCACCTTTATTTATGATGATGTGGCCCTTTTTTAAGTGTTTTGATTATTGATCAGTGTCTTGTGCTTAAATGAGGCCTTTTGCTTATTAGGTTTTATCTTGAAAAAAAGTTGGTTAATTTGTTTATGTTGAAGATCTGTATCTAGTTTCGTTATGTTATGCTGCTTTTATTTGGTTTTAAAAAATGGATGTTTTGTTTTATTGTTTTTCACTTGTTTTTATCTATGATCAATATAGATTTACCGGATTTTAGTTTTTGCTTTTGATATTGGTTTTTTTTCTTATTGATTTTTAATTTTTTTTTCCGGTGTAAGTATAGATTTCAATGGTTTCTTACTCCAAAATTGGTTTTCTTTGCCGATATAGAAGCTCAAGATTTTGTGATTTTTCAGTAGGATTGAGATTATTAATATGTTCTTTCATATTCACTCAATAAAGTAATTTCTTTATGAATTCGATTCCGTAATGAAGCTCGAGGGATATTTACTTATTCTATATGTAAAGTTACTTGTTTGGAACCATTTTCCTGTTACTGTGGAGTCATGTTTATGTAGTCAATGCTGTAAATATACGGAAGCAGAGATGGCATATTTTGACTTTGCCTTTAAAATGAATATGCATTTTGTTGAAGGACATTGTATAATGGTTTCTGAAACTGGTCATTGTTTTTGTGCAATCTGAAACATTACATGAATTGTTACCGCAATTTAATTCCACGGCCTGTAACGCTTTCTTGAGTCAGCTGTTTCTCTGGTTTAGTTAACAACTCTGAAACAATATTAGACCGTGTTAAATATTTTGCTCAATGAGAATGTGACCACTAATATTAGATGAGGTACTTGTGTTTCAATGCATACTGTTCTTCCATCCTCTTGAATTTTGCTCATGATTTCAGTTATAACCTTACTTGTTGAGCTGATAGTCTGTTGAGAACTGCTCTTGTTGAGCTATATTTTTATTTGTTTCTTTTTGTAGTCATACCTGGAATGGCGTCTGAAGGCTCTCAATTTGATGCTAAACATTATGATAACAAAATGAATGACTTGTAAGTTCCATTTTATTATAAGTTTACTGACAATTTGGCTCGAGAACATAGTTAGATTTTGCCATTTCTTAATTTCGGCTTGTAGCATTTTTGGTAAGGAGGATTGACCATCACTGGACATAAAAAAAATAAAAATAAAGAAGCTAAAAGTCCTAACTATCGAGTCTTGCATATCAAACATGCATGCCCTTAGGGTCTAAGATCAGGTTTTGTCTGTGTTACTTTCTCCTGGTGAATTGATAATGAAGTCTTTTTTTTTTTTTCTTAATTTGTGAGCACAGGCTTGGAACTGATGGAGAGGAATTCTTCACGAGTTATGACGAGGTGCACGAAAGTTTTGATGCGATGGGCTTACAAGAGAATCTTCTAAGGGGCATATATGCTTATGGTAGACTGTCACTATTATTTTTGCATAGCTATAGGAGCTTATTTCTATGTTCATGATTGCTTCACTTTTTCTCTCTTTAAGTGATAAAATAATAAAATTATTCAATTTCCTGAGGAATCGTCTCTTGAATTCATTTCCTATGCTTCTTCTCGATAGAACACTTTATTTATTTTTATTTTTTGGGTGTGGGGTGGCGCTCAAACTCATGCTTGTCTGAGCTTAAAAAGTATAATTTCGAGCACATAAGTAAGTTTAAATAAAAACATTATTTTTATTGGCCAAAGGTGAACCTAAGTTAATTACTTATTTTGAACCTAAGTTACTTACTTATTTTGAGAACAAGTTAGAGCTACTTCCAAATACAGTAATTGTTTTAAAATAGGAAAAATAGTAAGTTGTCTGAATATGTTAGAAAATTGAAAGTAACTTTACTTGTTTATCTTAGCCAAACATGCTCTGAAAAGAAGGATTCAAATTTCCTTGCTTTAATTTTTTTTTTTTTTTTGCATCGTGATAATGAGATATTGTTTAACTGGTGTACTGATGCATATCTATGTGGGCAACATCTGGCGTCTGCTTCTGGTTAGTCTCGGTTTGTATTTGGCAAAGTGAATGAATCAAAATCTTTTCTGTATTAATATGAAGGTTTTGAGAAGCCCTCTGCAATTCAGCAAAGGGGAATTGTTCCCTTTTGCAAGGGACTTGATGTGATTCAACAAGCACAATCTGGAACTGGGAAAACTGCAACATTCTGCTCTGGAATCCTCCAGCAGCTCGATTATGGGTTAGTTGAATGCCAGGCTTTGGTTCTTGCACCGACTCGTGAACTTGCGCAGCAAATTGAGAAGGTCATGCGAGCACTGGGTGACTATCTTGGGGTTAAGGTTCATGCTTGTGTTGGGGGTACCAGTGTACGTGAAGATCAGCGTATTCTTTCTAGTGGGGTACATGTTGTAGTAGGTACCCCCGGTCGTGTGTTTGACATGTTAAGGAGGCAATCGCTTCGCCCGGACTACATTAAGATTTTTGTGTTGGATGAAGCCGATGAAATGCTTTCAAGAGGTTTTAAGGATCAGGTCTGCTTCCATTATTTATTTATTTATTTAGGGTATCTTGCTTTGGTTACATCTTTTTGTTCATAATTTACTTTGTGGACTTCTTGTTTACCTTGTCATTTGTTTCACCTGCAACGTTCCAAATTGCAAATTATTTCTATTGTTGCTCCCCTGCTTTCACTTAGTGTTTAACAACCATATAGTTTGGAATTCTTTCTCCTTTGCTGGAATTTTTGTGTGGTGCTCGTGTGTGGAATCGTTACTAGCCATTTGTCATGGACTTGGCTATTCCAAGGTACCCCCCACACTTAGATCCACGATTCCACTGTGTTCAATGTTACTCAACTAGGCTCTGATACTACTAGTTACAGTAAATTGGACAGTGCGTGACAATTTTCTTGAAACGTAATTTAGCCTTTTCCCTTGGAATGCAATATGGTATCAAATGCAGGGTTTTATTCTTTTCAGATATACGATATTTTCCAGCTGCTGCCACCAAAGATTCAAGTGGGAGTATTTTCTGCCACTATGCCACCAGAGGCTCTTGAAATTACAAGGAAGTTTATGAATAAGCCTGTCAGGATTCTTGTGAAACGTGACGAGCTAACCCTAGAAGGTATTAAGCAATTCTATGTCAATGTTGAAAAGGAGGAATGGAAGCTTGAAACCCTCTGTGATCTTTATGAGACCTTGGCCATCACCCAGAGTGTCATTTTTGTAAATACCCGACGCAAGGTTGACTGGCTTACAGACAAAATGCGCAGCCGGGATCACACTGTTTCTGCCACCCACGGAGACATGGATCAGAACACGAGAGATATCATTATGCGGGAATTCAGATCCGGTTCTTCACGTGTTCTCATAACCACCGACCTCTTGGCCCGTGGTATAGACGTCCAACAAGTCTCCCTTGTGATTAATTATGATCTGCCAACTCAACCCGAGAATTACCTTCACCGTATCGGACGTAGTGGAAGGTTTGGAAGAAAGGGTGTTGCTATCAACTTTGTTACGAAAGATGATGATCGTATGCTTTTCGACATACAAAGGTTCTACAATGTTGTAATTGAGGAGCTGCCTGCCAATGTTGCTGATCTCCTGTAAGGTGGTTTTGATTTGCTGAGGTTTAATATTCCTGTTTCTAGTAATATGTTGTCTTATTTCTTAGGTTAGTTAACCATGCAACGGACTCATGTTTGGGAAATGCAAAGCCCATCATTTGCAAAGGGGGCTTTTCATTTCTCAATATGTTTTCTGTTCTACAACTCTTGAAATTTTTGGTTTGTTTTTATATTGTAATCTTGTCCAAATAACTGCAGATTTGGATGTTGTTTGTGTTGCAATATTGTATCTTGTAAAAGTTGGGTTCCAAATTTTTGATTGTTTGAGTAGGAGATATCAGAAATTGAGATATGTGATATAAGTGCGTATCATTTTGACATTAAAGCTTGGGGGGGGTGCGAGGGGGGGGGGGGGTTTACTTTGGGGGGGTGGGAGGGGGGGGGGTGGTTTACTTTCAAAATTAATTATTTGTTTAATTTTCAATTTTGACCAATAAAAAAAATTTATTTGTTTTACAATGATAATTTCAAGTAAACTTGATTTATAAGTAAAATTTTCAACCATAGTAGTGATGTCTTAACAGAGTATTGTCTTCCCTTCATTTTCTTGTCTGGAAAAGTAGGAATTGGCCGGTTGTCTGTGCCCCCCATTGGCCGATAATAGGAGGGCACAGACAGTCGGCCAATAGGGGGTTGCCACGCCAAACATGAGCCTGTCCATATCTCAGAACCCATATTTCTATTACTATAGTTTTAAATTTTCTATTACTATAGTGAAAAATTGTTTTTGTCTGCATTAAAATTGCACTGACTTTTATTTGACTTAAAATTGGATAGCAAAATCGTCAAACCACTTAATGTCTAGCTGTAAATCATGTGAAAGTTGCGATTTGAATGTCCACATTGATGGTTTACATAATGTAAAGGTCTAAATTCACATGTTGATATATATTAGGGCTTTTAAAAATCAGGGAAAGATCTAAATTCACATGTTGAAATGGGTTGGGGACTTTTGAAAGTTAAAAAGACCCAAAATCATGCTACCTTAAAGGATGGGGAAGCATATACACAAGGATAGATATGTGTGTGTAATGATTATTAGAATTAGATTGAGAAGTTCATTGAAAGAGAAACCTAATCGCATAGTAGCTTTATGCATTTCTTCATCTCCAATTATTATAGAAAAAACAAAACAAAAAACTCTTTCAAAAGATAATTCTTCTATTCCTTCTCATGGAACCTTCCCTAATAAAAATGGTGGATGTTTAATACGTAATATCACACAAAACTAAATTCTACCTTACAATTTCGGAAACGAAGTCACATGCATTAGTGGAGGTGGAATTTCTCAAGGGTCCCAAGTCATCACAAGATTCATGCATACGATACCCTTTGCCTTGCTACGTTTTTTTTCTCATTTTAATTTTTCCCCCTTTTAGATAAAGTGTAAGTAATTTTGCTTTCTTATATTTCAATTTGGTTTTACACCTAAGATTTGAAAGCCTCATTTCTATGAATAATTACACTTCTACTATATTTAGCAAAATAATTCTTAATCTCCTAAAGGGGAGTTTCAAAATATATTTTAGATAAAATACAAAGTTCATATTTCTCCAACTCTCAAACAAAAAACTCTTTCAAAAGATAATTCTTCTATTCCTTCTCATGGAACCTTCCCTAATAAAAATGGTGGATGTTTAATACGTAGTATCACACAAAACTAAATTCTACCTTACAATTTCGGAAACGAAGTCACATGCACTAGTGGAGGTGGAATTTCTCAAGGGTCCCAAGTCATCACAAGATTCATGCATACGATAGATATCCTTTGCCTTGCTACATTTTTTTCTCATTTTATTTTTTCCCCCTTTTATATAAAGTATGAATTACTTTGCTTTCTTATATTTCAATTTGGTTTTACACCTAAGACTCGAAACCCTCATTTCTATGAATAAGTACACTTCTACCATATTTAGCAAAATAATTCTTAATCTCCTAAAGGGGAGTTTCAAAATATATTTTAGATAAAATACAAAGTTCATATTTCTTCAACTCTCGGAGAATGATCGATTCAACGATCTTACATTATAAGTGTATTTAGTATGTTGAATTCGACAAAATTAATCCAATACTATCTTATTAATTCTATACAAGCCAGAAATTGAATCTCCATCTTATTTTGTTCTTTGTTTATAATAGCATTTGCAAATTGCTCATCAAGTGAAATCATAACCATTGGCAGGACCCACATGGGGTCATGTGACCCCACAAAATTTTTGGATTTTTTATTTTTTTTATTTTTTATTTATGACAAAAAATGATAGTGCAAGACCTAAAAATAGATATACTAATTAATTAGTTGATTTGTAAAAGTTTCAAGCACTTTTAGCTGACTTATGCAAACGCCAAAAAAAAAGTAAATTGACAAGCAATTAACTGCATGATTTGCTAATAATCTTTTAATAATTGCGTAGTGCTTACTTAACTATGATGTATACCCACACTAAATTTCTTAATGCCCTTACTTTATTACCAAACCACAAAGCTTTAAGCTTATCGAAAACAAGTAATAGCATTTGCAAATTGCTCATCAAGTGAAATCATAACCATTGGCAGGACCCACATGGGGTCATGTGACCCCACAAAATTTTTGGATTTTTTATTTTTTTTATTTTTTATTTATGACAAAAAATGATAGTGCAAGACCTAAAAATAGATATACTAATTAATTAGTTGATTTGTAAAAGTTTCAAGCACTTTTAGCTGACTTATGCAAACGCCAAAAAAAAAGTAAATTGACAAGCAATTAACTGTATGATTTGCTAATAATCTTTTAATAATTGCGTAGTGCTTACTTAACTATGATGTATACCCACACTAAATTTCTTAATGCCCTTACTTTATTACCAAACCACAAAGCTTTAAGCTTATCGAAATTTTTTCCCCCCCCCAAAAAAAAAAAAAAAAAAAAAAAAAAGAGGGAACTTTATAGATGCAAATAGTGCAGCAATATGAATTTTAATTTTTGACCTCATGATACAAAAAGTTTAGATCCGCCCCTGAACATGACAATCTTTTTATCATTCTACCAAAACACATACATGTTATCTCGGCCAATGCAAGTTGCATCTACGTCATACTATCATTGTTATTATCAAAATATATGACAATCGTCCATCTATATCTTGTTACTGACAATCTCATCTTTATAGTACTTTTTAATAGAAAGCGAAATTTTGCATACCTCCATATCCTTAATTTCTTGATCTCCTCTAACCAGTAGAATTTGCATACCACGTTCTCACGACTGTCGTAGTTAATATTCGCATAACATACTTTACTTTTTTTTTAAAATGGTGAATCGTGTTCTAAAAATCTGATTTCACTTCAAATTGGGCTGCTATTTATCTTACCTGGAAACCTTCACTAAATCCTAAATAATTTGTTCTGCTCACCATCTGACGGTAGATCATCAGATATGATTTGCACGGTTGGGGTTGTCGTCTTTAGGAGTCCCTGAAAATCGCATTTGACTCTATTGATGAACACAGTTAAGGTATGTTGGATATCTTGAAGAGTTATGTTGAACTCGTAGAGCCATCGGTCGATGTTTTTGAGTCCCTATCATTGATAGCTTAGACTCAACCAGTACCATCAAGTCAGGTAAAATCCTTGCTTTGATACCAATTTGGTGCAGAAGTGAAATTGATCTCTTGAAACATGAAAAAAATTTCAAAACTTGTAGAATTTTGTAATAATAATTGTTTGTATCGAAAAACGGTTGATTGAAAAGTGTACAAAGTTTTTTTTTTATCTGGATATAATAATCCCATAATCCTAATGACTAAAATAATTAGGATCCTGAAAAGAGTGAAAGAAAAATAAATCCAAATCTAATAATAAAGAAAAAATTATATTCTAAACAACAAAAAGGGAAAAAAAAATCGCATTCTAAATAAAATAAAGAAGAAGAAATATTTATTTACTATAATAAAAGAATCATTCGTGTCCTATTTGTAATATGATTTTCCTACATCAGAATCCTACAATTTTTTCTTTACTTTTTAAGTCAATCTTTCATTGTTTTTTAATATGCTGTGACAATAAGGCTCAAGCACTTGAATTGGAACCTCGAAAGTTATGATATTTCACATGCATTTGTCAAGAATAATCATTAAGCACTCAATGATGGAGCTTTTGACGAAAACATTCACTTATTTTTACATTTATCTGATTGTTTTTCTTCTTTTTCTATATTCTCTTTCCCGTTCTACGTCATTTGAACTTTTACATTTTTTACAAAGTATGACATACGTTTCAAAAGAAAGAAAGAAAGAAAGAAAAAAGATTTATGCCATAATTGTCAAAATAGCAAAAGTATCATACATGATATGTTGCATTGAATTATTGATACAAAGGGAATATACCACCAAATCTAAGTTATCCTAGTTTTCATTTTTCCTCCTAGTAGAGTGTTCAATATTTATTTATTTATTTACTTTTTTCTGAAGTGGACTAAAAATTAGAATTGAATACTTCAAAGTTAAATTTTAAACGTAGTAAATTTTTTTTCCATATATGAAATCTATTAAATTAATTTAGCCATGTATTATTTTTGTTGAAGGTGATCATGCAATCAAATTTGTACAAAACATGAATAATCAAAAAGAGTGTGAGATAAATAAGCTTCGAGTATCATGTTTTAAGTTGGATTAGTTGAGTGACAACATTTGTCGAACGATTTGATGATTGAACAACTTTATGAAGTAGGAGGAGACACCAATTATAATCACCTCTCGTGCTTGTATACTAAGTTCCGCATCAGAATTAAAAAAGACACATTAATATCCATTAATCAAATAGTGTGTATGAGATAAATAAGCTTCGAGTATCATGTTTTAAGTTGGATTAGTTGAGTGACAACATTTGTCGAACGATTTGATGATTGAACAACTTTATGAAGTAGGAGGAGACACCAATTATAATCACCTCTCGTGCTTATATACTAAGTTCCGCATCAGAATTAAAAAAGACACATTAACATCCATTTTGATTTATAGGATTCTATATCAAATGCAATAATGCAAAAGAGAAAATTGTGTTCTGTACAATAATGAAAAGATTGAAAAGATATTGACGTTATCTCTATTTGACTCGTCCAATATTTGGATGATTTTAAAACGTCATTAATGCCAACATTTTCAAAATAAAAAATAAAATAAAATAAACCACCCCTCACAAATTTTCTCCTATAGCCTTAATCCCACCTCAAGAAATCCTCAGGTCATTCAACGAACGATTTGATGATTGAACAACTTTATGAAGTAGGAGGAGACACCAATTATAATCACCTCTCGTGCTTGTATACTAAGTTCCGCATCAGAATTAAAAAAGACACATTAAAAAAATGAATAATCAAAAAGAGTGTGAGATAAATAAGCTTCGAGTATCATGTTTTAAGTTGGATTAGTTGAGTGACAACATTCGTCGAACGATTTAATGATTAAGCAACTTTATGAAGTAGGAGGAGACACCAATTATAATCACCTCTCGTGCTTGTATACTAAGTTCCGCATCAGAATTAAAAAAGACACATTAACATCCATTTTGATTTATAGGATTCTATATCAAATGCAATAATGCAAAAGAGAAAATTGTGTTCTGTACAATAATGAAAAGATTGAAAAGATATTGACGTTATCTCTATTTGACTCGTCCAATATTTGGATGATTTTAAAACGTCATTATTGCCAACATTTTCAAAATAAAAAATAAAATAAAATAAACCACCCCTCACAAATTTTCTCCTATAGCCTTAATCCCACCTCAAGAAATCCTCAGGTCATTCAAGAATTGAACATTCTCCACCCGACGCCCAGCCCATGGGAAGAGAATACAGATCCACGTCCTTTAGCAATAACATGATGCAGATAGAAAAATACTATGGACCTCCTCCTCCTCCCACCACCACCACCAGGCCTAATGATTTCAGGCCATACAGTGCTTCCTATGCGGCGGCGCCACCACAAATAAAGGACTGGAAAATCAAGAAAGACAGTGGAAAATCTTGGAGTTTCCATGACCCTGAATTCCAGAGGAAGAAAAGGTTGGCTAGTTACAAAGCTTACTCTGTTGAAGGCAAAGTCAAGGGGTCTGTCAGGAAAAGCTTTAGGTGGCTTAAATATAAGTACAACCAAGTGGTCTATGGATGGTGGTAAACTGGTAAACTCAATCATTCGTATTTGGGATTGGGATAATTTGGAGCATGTTTCCACGATTCAAAGTACCTTTCTATGAATTAGAATGTTCTTATTTCTCTTGGCGTTCAATTTCCAGATATTAAAATCAATTAACACGACTATGATCAGCTAGTATTTGAAGGGCGCAGTGCTAATGATTTTTATGTTTAAACATATTATGTTACAAGTTTTCTACTTATTAATAAAAAAGTATTTTCATCTCTGCTCAACAAAACAAATTAATTAGTTTGAAATAAACTTATTTACTTATGGGAGGGTGTGAGGCCAAAATCCACATGTTTGGTTCTGTTCATCTACAATTCAATTAGACCAAAAAACAATCGAGATGCTTATATCATGTTTATTATAGTGAATATTTCTCTGAGGTTTGCCATGTAATATCACGTGCGTGATATTAATTTAATGTTAGTAGGGTTAATTTTTGAATTCCTGAAATGGAATAGAACGTGTGCCCTATCAAGCGATATAAACTTTGCTCGGAAAAACTTCTAGAATCCCTTAGGTAATATCCTTCTCTCAAGAGTTATTCGAGAAATGTCCGCTATTGAGTAAATAGTACTATGGATGAATTGTATTCACTTGAATATTTCAAACCGAGGGAAGCTTAGACAAAAATCGACGAAGAGCATAAATTATCCCTAATTGACATAAGATTTAAGAAAAACTCAGCTCAATACTTAAAATGCCCCTAGAAAATAATAGATATTGAAGTGATATAAAAAGATTATGAGTTTTAAAATATGATTCACGACTAATTAATAACGTAGATATGTATATTTTCAAATTTACACACACACACACACACAAATTACATTACATAAATGCAGATTTACTTAATATTTTGATAACTTGTCATTATGTAGGTTTATGAAACACATATTTGTGATGTTTGGATGTGTTGGGGAAAATTCCACTGAATACACAACGAATGCAACGAACACCAAAATAAATAAAAATAAAAATAAAAAAATGTTAAAAAATAAAATAAAATAATAAATTTAATTAATTAAACTTCGTTAGGTAAACCCTCGAAAACAACAAGAGAATTAGAATTCATTGATTAACAAATAATTCATAATACAATATTTTTATCACTTTCACAACTTTTCTTTACACAAAACTAAACCTTAACTTGAAGTTCGTATTTCTTGTTTTCTTCAGTTTTCTCCTCTGCATAAAATCTCTCGCAGGATTCCCCCAAAAACTTTGGTCAAGCATTGCATGTAGGGATATCCACGAGTCGAGCTGAAACTCGAGCCTCGAGCTCTACTTGAATAAAATTAAGGCAGGCTTTTTTCAACAAGAGCCAAGCCGAGCAAAAGCTTGACCAAAAAATCTGGACTCAACCTAAATTTTTGGCTCGAGCCTTATCGAGTCGAGCCGGCTCAATTTTTTTATTTTGTTACTTTTATTTAATTATAAACACAGCTGCCTTTAAAGTCAGCTATGCACTGCCTTTAAAAAGGCAGCATGTATTTAAATTTAAAGGCAGCTACTGCCTCTGTGTTTTTCTTTTTACGGGTTGGCTTGAGCTCGGTCGGACACCCCAAAATGGGCTCGACTCAAGCTTTGAACTGGGCCAGTTCGAACTTTTTTCGGGCCTAGCCGAGGAGCTAAATTGGCATTCCTAACTATGTGTGATGAATTGATCATGATATATATTTATAGCATTGGTACTCGATTTTTTATGGTAGTTTCTTTTTCATACCAAAATTCTATTTTCTTTACCAAATTGCTTTAGAAGTCCTTTTCCCTATATAAAGTCCATTTTCACCCAAAATTAAACATTGAATCAGGACTTAAATTAAATTATTACTTTCACTTCTAATTTAACTTTATTAATTTGATTCAATCCCAACAATTTTCACATTCACTCAAATTTTCTAAATCATGACACATTTTTACTCTCGTACTCAGGGGCGGAGCTAAAATTATTATTCAGTGTGGGCAATTTTTTTTTTTGATGTGTTCGTATCCTTTACATGCTCAAACAATTCTTTCTCGATTGTTGTTTTTATGACAATCATAGCCGTGCTCGTTTTAATTATCTACTTTTATAGTGCCATGATTTAGTTTAGCAGTATCGTGTCACTTCCGTCAACTACTTTCTATAAGTCTTGTCCTTGGAGATAAAACTCAGTAAATTTGTCATGTGGTATAATTTTTTGTTATTGAACTTTTTCATTATGTCTAGGACTTTTAGGTTTTCTATTGAGATTTAATTTACCTCTTTGTAATCAAACAAACTTTATAGAAGCTTTAGAATTTTCCTTAGTATAAGAACCCCAAAAGCTCAAAAATTTGTCTATGATTACTACTCTCTAATATCAAATTGTTAAATTTAAATATTAAAGAAACAATTTAATTAATGAAAATTTGTGAAATATTTTGTTACAAAACACACACTTTCTCATCAAACACCAATACACTTATACACGGCACCTCATTTTCTACATCACTTAGTCCACTTTGCTGCATGCAAGTTCAATCTCTCTCTATCACAACACTCAACCCACTTTCTCTCACTTTATCTGTTTCTCTTCTCACTCTATCAATTCGCTGTAAGACTGCATCCAGTTTCTCTCACACTCCATTTGATTTTGAGATATATATATATATATATATATATATATATATATATCCTGGTGCATATATATACATTCAGCACCTTCAAGGTTCTTCAATGTTGATGATTTACTCACTTACGAACCCCAAAAGCTCAAAAATTTGTCTATGATTGCTACTCTCTAATATCAAATTGTCAAATTTAAATATTAAAGAAACAATTTAATTAATGAAAATTTGTGGAATATTTTGTTACAAAACACATTCTCTCTTATCAAATACCAATACACGGCACCTCATTATCTACATCACTTAGTCCACTTTGCTGCATGCAAGTTCAATCTCTCTCTCTATATCACAACACTCAGCCTACTTTCTCTCACTTTATTTGTTTCTCTTCTCATATATATACATTCAGCACCTTCAAGGTTCTTCAATGTTGATGATTTACTCACTTTTATGAGTTTTTCCTTTCCAATTTGAGGGCATCCAAAACCAAAACTGGAGTCTGAAATGAAATGAGCCAAAGTTCAGTGCGGGCATACCCTTCATAGCTCCGTCCCTGCTCGTACTTGTACCTTTTTATCGCTCGGTGTCACCGTTCCTTGGTCAACGTAGTAGTAATGATCCAAATCAAAGGCTCGTTAAATGCGACTCTGGATTTTTGCATCTTTAAACTTCAATCTTTCATTATTTTTACCATCAGCCACAGGATACATCTTCTTCGACAACGACTAGATCATCACAGCTCTAATTTTTTGCAACTTTGTAGTTATAGCTTTATTTGAAACCGTCTTTCCTATAAGTCTCTACAAATTGCCCAACTTTCTTACCTTTAATTATCGCTAAATTGTTGCCTTTACCAGCAATCAGTAGTATATCAAACAACACTAGGAACATAAATGATAACTCTCTGCCATTGCTATCTATTATTTACTCCACTAATGCAGCTTGTGGAAAAGTTCAACATATTCATTTAAACCTTGATATTAATTAGATGTAAAAGCATCTTCCAATACTTTTAAGCAACCCCTAGAGATAACCATAAGTTCTCAAATATACGCAAAGCTTCCATGAAACTAAGCCTGAGCACCCTGAAGAAGACCGTCTCGTATTTGTGAAGCAACATCTTTCACCACGGTGCCCAACAATATGGGCCTTGGCGCCGCGATGCCAAGGGTGACTGACACAAAACTGTGGCTAGGCGCCACGTCGCCACCTACAGAAAAAACTAGGGCGCACTTTTCGCTGGTTTTTGAGTCTAGACAAAAATCCTACCTTCTGACATGGCAAGGCACCTATAAATACGAATTTTTCAGACTTTTGAAGGGGATGCATACATTGAGAGACAAGAAACACAATTGGAGAATCAAAGAAGGAATTCAAGGGAGAAAACATCAAGAATCTCACTGTGTGGAGCATTGATTGGAAGAGAGAGGATATCTTGGTGCAAGAATTCTAATTTTTCTTCTACATCCTAAATACAAATCCGATGATGTATTCTAACACAATTTGTTTTTTTTCTTCTTTTCTTTTGTTATGAATAGCTATATCAATTGTTAGGGCGAATAATGTAACCAATTGAGATCCTTTATATTTTTTTAATTACGATTCTTGGTTTTTATTGTTCCATGTGTTGATTTTACTATGGAATGAATGCATTAAATTACTTCTTCACTAATTTGATAATTTCGTGAATCTTTTACGAATAGAGATATGAGTTTATGATTTAGACCATGTAGTAAAATTCGGTACATTGATATAAAGAGTGAAGATACTTATACTAATTATTTCGGTCATAATTGAATTCTTAGGACAAAGAACTCGTTTAACTAAGCTAGAATTTGCATAGAGATATGAATCGAGTTAGTTAAGTAGGCCCAATGAAAATTTGAGAGGGCTAAATTAAAGACAAAAACACTACATTAGATTTGAATCTTAATTTAAGATGTAAAGATAACTGATAGATGAAATTATACTGTCCTAATGTCTGTTCATTATTTAATTTCTAAACCAATCTTGTGTGCATCCACTTATTTTCGCGTATGTAGATTGCAACTCAAATCATACAAGTCTTTGTTTGTTTTCATCAAATAGTGGTTAGAAAGAAAGATTAAATTTAGTGCTAAAGTATAGCTCTCGTGAGAACGATAATTTGAATTCTTAGGTCCACTCACTATTGTTACAATTCGTACACTTGCAGAAATAAAATTGACAACAAGAACCATGTCCATGACACCCTTAGTAGTCGTTCTGTTAGAATTGAATGAAGAATATTGAATAGAAGTAATGAAAAATATTGAATAGAAGTCTCTTCATATGTTGTAATTCAAATAACTCAAGTCCCTTCATGTTTTTAACTCTTTTATCAATGAATGGTTCAACTCCTTGATTAATGAGCTAGATTTTCCTCCATTGGTATAAATAAGAGTCTTTCTAGGTTGGAAAATCACAAGTGAAATGCAAGCTTCTTCCTATAAGCAACAATCTTCTTTTCTCACTTTCAAGTTCTTCCTTATGCTTATAATTTCTTTGTGAGATAGAGTATATCACAGCTAGTTTGCAGACAGTTAATGTAGTGCAGCATGAACCGACAACCGATTGTATCCTGAGAATCGAACACCGATCAAAAC